ACAAGAACTTTTGTCGGATGTAAGTACTTATAAAAAAGGTTAAAAACGACCCAACAAACAGCACACTAAAAACAACTAGTGACCTCATAAAGAAACACTCCGAAAAATTAAATCTGGACGTAAAATGGATAATACCTACGTGCGCCAAATCACCAAAGTTGTATGGGTTACCAAAAATACACAAGCCCAATGCTCCATTACGCCCCATAGTGAGCCAAATCGATTCACCAACTTACAGATTGGCTCAACACTTAGCGAAAATACTCTCACCGCTCAGGGGACATACAAGAGCACACATAAAGGATTCCTACCATTTTGTCAGCGAGATTAAAGACCTACGTCTGGCAGACAATGAAACTATGGTCAGTTTTGATGTGCAGTCATTGTTTACATGCTTACCTGTTGAAGACTGCATCTCAATTGTAACTAGAAGGCTGGAAGAAAACAACATGCCCGTAGAATATGCAGTATTACTCAGACACTGCCTTACATCTGGCTACCTATTGTGGAAGGAGGAGTTCTACAAGCAAGTAGATGGTGTGGCGATGGGCTCACCTGTATCTCCCATTGTCGCCGACATATTCATGGAAGACTTTGAGGAGAAAGCCCTGCTTACTTCACCCATAAATCCAAGATTCTACAAGTGGTACGTAGACGACACTTTCACAATTCTACCTTTAGATAAAGTAACTGCATTTTTAGACCATCTTAACTCTATAAATACTAAAATTCAGTTCACAATGGAGTTAGAGGCAAACAATTCCTTAGCTTTTCTAGATGTGTTAGTAATTCGGAATCCTGATAACACCTTGAGCCATACTGTGTATAGAAAAAAGACCCATACAGATAGATATTTAAACGGTGATTCTCACCACCATCCTTCACAGTTAGCTACCGTGGGTAAATCTTTGTTTCAGAGAGCACGAGGGATCTGTGACAGTAAACACCTGGCTGCCGAGCTCCAACATGTCAAGCAAGTTTTGCATGACAACAAGCTTCGGGTCCCGCGCCTACGTCACAGAGAACGAGTGAAGCCGGCCACAGTCGAGCGTGTACCTGCTGTACTGCCATATGTTAGAGGAGTCACTGACAAGATTGGCTACATCTTGAAGCGCGCTTCCATCAAAACATACTTCAAGCCGCCGAAGAAGATTGGTCAGTTTTTACCATCAGTCAAGTGTAACGTCCCTCTGCAAGATGCAGGAGTGTACAAGCTTGATTGTGAATGTGGTCTCTCCTACATAGGACAAACTAAAAGATCAATTAAAACTCGCGTCAAAGAACATATAGCTGATGTGAAGAATCGACGCTCCGGGAAGTCTGCAGTCTGTGAACATGTACAGGATCGCCCCCGTCACTACATCAGATTTGATAGACCACAAATCCTCGCTAAAGAACACCGATTCCTACCAAGGATGATTCGCGAGGCTATTGAAATCAAAAAACATCCTAATTTCAATAGAGAAGATGGCTGGGTGCTACCATCTGCTTGGGATCCTATAATAAATAAAATTAAATCCCAACCCAAGCATACAACTGCAAGACTCCATGATACCATAAGTTCATACTGTGTAGATCGGAACAAAAGTTAAATTTTAATCTATGGTAACCGCGGTTAACTATGACAGCTGGACGTTGAACATCTCAGTCCTTCCCGTGACCATGGGTGCTGTAAAGCTCTCGAAACGTTGGGTAAAAAAAAAAGTTAAATATACGCGATAAATTCCGTAAAAATTAGTATTATTTCAATGTGTAGTGTTCGCGTAAATATAAGAAATCATTACGCTCTGTAAAATCTAATATATGTATAATATAAATATTCGCTTTAGAGATCGAATTTTCCAAAATGATTTCATAGCGGATTTCTATTCATAAAAGGTTTTGGCGGCTTGGTTAAGCTTGTGCACTGGTATAATATAAGGAGTAATAGTAGATACACAGTGAACAGTGACATCTGTCGATAAATGGCAAAACTAACTTTACGGCAAATTAAATTTTATTCTGTTCGTTTTAACTATGTCCAACATAAATTAAATTTTATAAATGCTATTAGTAAACCTAATTAAAAAACAAACCTTCTGATTTAAAATCAGAATTTTGTCTAATTTTAAGTACCTCTTAAAAGTGAACAAATCTGTCAGGACGGCACTATGGACTCTTCCCCGCTCCAAGAAGCCTATTAGAATGCCTACGATGATATCCTTTTTATATACATATTTCATTGAATGCATATACTGAGCCGTGGATCGTATAATTGGCTATTATATTGTATTATATCGTATATTGGCTGTATTTTATATTATATAACCCGCTTCTTCGGTTCCGTAATCGGGTAAAGCGTGCGTGATAAGTCGTGGTCCCCATTGATTGCCTCATATGCCAATTACGAGGCAATCAATAGGGAGGCCTATGTTCAGCAGTTTACTTTAAAATGCTGTACCGGATATTGGATAAAAGAAGAAACTTATATTTGCTAGTCCAATACGAACATTGCGTTGAAAGCAGCAAGCAAAGTATTTATTTACATTATGTGTATGTGTCCTACATATCTCGTTTATAATTAAACCTTATGGTTCTTGAAAATATTTATAGCGCCAGCTTGCCTCTGCAGTTTTCAGCCTCAGTTGCTACGGCTCACTTAGGTGCCCGCGATTTGCAACGCAAGGGCGAAGGGGCAGAAGTAACTCCGTGTCAATATTCCTGTATCAAGAAGTGAGGTTATGATTTTACAAAAAAAAATTAATACATTTCCGCAACGGGGGAAGAGTAGGGGTTGCTTCCCATGACCCTCCCCCTCCCCCTCCCAACACCGTACGCGAGTACCGGACGTCAATAGTTTACTCGAAGATACGCTTCACAATTTTCCTAACGACTATTTTCATATAAATCAGTGCTTTATGCATGATACGTTAATAAACAAACAGATAAACAGGCACACAATTCCAAAAATGATAAAAATGTATTCAGTAGAGATCGTCTTATGTTCGGTATTCGGCAAGTTTACCGAATATTCGTATTCGGCTAAATCACAGAATATTCGGTAAAGTGGTACTCAAAGTATCCACTGTATGGAAATGTACGAATTTAGTAATGCCATGTCTTTCATAATTTTACTGTTGAAAGTATATTTATTTATGGGTTAAATCTTCTTGTATAACGATATGTTTTTGAGGCACTGTAGATTTATTCAAATCAAACAAAGAAACATTACATTACAGTCGTCAGTTTCTCTTAAATTGGTCAAAATAGTAGATCTCCTGCCACTCTTTTGCGTCACATACTTATCAATTTTAACTAAGAATACTTTTTTCGCACAAAAATAGTCAAAACATAAGCATGTGCCGGCAATTTGCTCAGATGATGCAATGACATGTCAGGTGTGGCAGAATATTCGTATTCGGTGAAATCCATATTCGGCGCATCCCTAGTATTCAGTTATTTATTTTTAATCCCTCTCAATCAATTTCGTTACAAAAATATAAAATTATAGACATCTGCATTTTAATTTTTAATATATGTATAGATAGATAGCAAAATTATATTTTCTCTAACGATTAGCGAAGATAGAAGATTTTGGCGAGAATTTAACCGCCAGCGGGGATGCTTTATTCACAATTGGACCCATTAGCGCGCTGTTATCAAGATCCAGAAATCACAATTGCGAGGCCTAGGCAGTATATTCCTTATATAATATATATATAGCACCTTATACAAATAATAAAAATTAAGCTAGTTAGAAAGAAGAATAAAATTACAAACATATAAGTAGGAACATAGTAATGGAAAACTGAGAATTAAAACAAAATGTCAAAGGTAAAGTATTTATTTTCATCGTCTCAACCTCATCATATCCCCCGACTAGTGTCAGGGGAAACAACTAGTCTAAAATTATAAACAGATTGCAATGAACTGCAATATATATATAAGTGTAGAATCCGTCACCCCTTTTTTTGGATTTAAAAAAATGAGGTCACAAATTACCCAGGAACCACATCCTATTTTACACATGACAAATAATCGTTTGCGGGTTTTATGCACAACTTGTGGTATTATCCAGAACAATTACTGGTATTTACAAAAAATATCTAATTAAACTGATTTATCTTATTATTTTCACCGTTATGTTATGCAATAATTGATGGTACCGTGTTAGTGGCGGTGTAAGAATATCCATTATCCACTACCCCCTATGAGGCAATCTATTGGGGAGGCCTATGTTCAGCAGTGGACTTTAATAGTAACAGTAATGATAACCTATTATTCCTTTTATCATATTCTAATTGTATTTTATTCACATTATGCCGATTGTGGCACACTGCAGTTTTGGAGACATTTAGACTATTGTTAAACCCAGCGTTTTTAACTTGTTATTTATTTATTTTTATATATTATTAACTCAAGCCAACAGAGCAAATAAAACTCTTCAGACTTATATCATGATTGAAGTAATTGGAATATTATTTCTACTTATAGTTAACATGCGCAGAAAATTTAAAAACATAAAACACACCACTTTTACATATCAAAATTCAACTATTATTTAATGATACAGAATCAAAAATCTGCCAGTGATGAATTTCCCCCTAAAACCTCTGACACATCAAGATCCAAACTTGTATGGAGTTTGCACAATAATCAATTTTTTTTTTAGATTAAGGATGTTAAATGGGCACAAGGTCCACCTGATGGTAAGTGGATGCTGTGGCCCATAAACATCTATATTTATCCTTTATTAGAATCAAAATGCAGATATGTTATTACACCTGAGGACTAAGTTGGAATGCCTTATTTTCAGCAACTCAAACTCCACACAAGTTTATCAAACAGCATAGTGATCGGGCTTCTATCTTTTTTTTGTTTTGATCTGCTTTATTTTAAGAGGTAGTAGAACAGCATAAAAGTATTCCTGGAACATGTACATTTGTTTTTATTGATATGAAGAGAACAGGTTTGAATGAACGCACATTGTTATAATTTTCAGTAAAAAATTGATAAGCAGTTTAATATCCTTCATCACTGGTTGTGATTGTATAGTCAGGATAAAAATCTTTTATTATCTTTGCTGTGACATCATGATCTGCTTTTCCAAATCCCTGTGAATATCCATAAATTTGAATTTGCTTCAAGTCAGAATCATGGGAAATTCTTCCTCCTCCCAAAACTTCACAATCATGGGGATGCAGTTTTTCCTGAACCTGAAATATATTTCTATGTATAGCTGATGATAATTATTCTCATTTTGTGCCTTCTAACACAAAAATAATGAAATCTTTACAACCCCTTCAGTATCATTGTGACTACTGCTACTAGATTCATGAAAATGTTAATGAAGAAATAGGATGAATGGTACAATGACTTAATTAATTATAGTAGTACTAATATATTCATCATCACTACAGCCCTTCACAAGAACACTGCTGAAGATACACCTCCCTTGTGGAATGTCATGAAAAATGCCACCTGTATACAGCAATTTCTTGCATGTTTTATCAGGTCAGCACCCCATCTAGTAGGAGGCTGCCTCACTAAGTATAAATGATTTTTATACCAGATGTAATATTTCCAGACAAGTGATGGGAAGCAGCAATAAAGTTGTAAGATGTTGGATACTGAGATTGTAAATTTGCCTCCAGCTAAGAGTGATCATGAAGCCTCTCAGAAATCAGAGGAGGCCTGTGCCCAGCAGTGGGACATATATAGGCTGTAACTTTTAATAATATCTAAGAAATTATCCCACAATTTTAAACTTTATGCAAAATCCAATTAATGATACATTGACTCTTACAACCAAACTATTATAAGTTAAAATTTATAATAGTTTGGTTGCAGGAGAAAATTAATTGCTTTTTAAAAATGATTAATAATATGTAAATTGAATTTATAATTGGAATCCTGTCCTATTAAACTATTTGTAACTGATCCAATGATAACATATGGAATCTGATGTTAAAGATTTTACTTTTTTTTTTTTTTATAGGTAGGGTGACAATCGAGCACACAGTCCACCTGATGGTAAGTGGTTGCTGCGGCCCATAGACATCTACATCTGTGTTCCATTACAAATCAAAATGCAGATGCATTGTCACCCGTGAGGACTGAGATGGAATGCCTCATTTCCAGTAAAAAGGGTCTCCGGTTCTCTACACTCACCATACGAAATACAGCAGCATTAAGCTACTATTTCATGCTGGTATTCTGTGAGAGCGTGGTCCTTCCCCGGTCGAGCCGACCCATTCGTGCTACAACTATACTACTAATATAATTGCAGCATGGCTCTACCACGTAAAAACTTACTCTACTACGTAACGTAACGCTGTACCACGTAAAAACGTTCTCTTTTATATTAAGAAACTACTTCACTAATCTATTTCTGTAATTTTAGTCAAAAATTTAAAAAGCATAATAACATTTTTTTACTTAAAGAAATAAAATAAGACTTTATTTTATTTATTTTAAATAAAGAATTTTACTTCAAAATAAATATGAAAACTTACTATTTCTTATTAGTAATTGAAAGTTTAATATCTTTATATAATAATTATTTCATAAAATAATCTCAATAGTAGGTGTGGCGGCGCTGTCATCATGCCACAAGCAAAACACATCAAAGCATAAATTGCACTATCAAAGTTCTGAATCAAAACCAGTATATATAGAATAGCTCCAAACTATCAAACAGAGTGTTGGGCACTCCCCGGGCAGAAGGGCTGCCCGGTGGAAGATCTTCCCTTTTCCTTCAACTGACAAACTGGTGAGTGGTGACCATCCGATGTGATTTGAACATGCAACAATGCAACCTTCAGAAACTTCAACTTCAAACTTCGTCATCGTCTTCAAGTACCTCCCACATTATCCCCCGAGCAGATATCATCTGCAATCCTGACATCCTCCATGCCATCCAGCTTTACAAGGTTCTTCGCAGCACTGGAATAGTGCTTCCTGTTCCTTCAAGCAACTCTTTGCACTATACAGTGTTCGGCACGGCTCTGAGCCTAACTGCTCGCCTCTGCTTCACGGCACTCTCGCAGATTACTTGCCTTCTTCTTGACTCACTGCAGACTACAAGGCAATCCACTGGCACTTGCACATTTGTCAATAACTAGACTGTACCATCGACCTCTGGTCTGAGCAGGGGGTGATGTGGCGGTGCTGTCTTCGCGTCACAAATAGGGATGGGCTGAATATTGGTTTCATATTCGGTATTCGGCATCTTTACCAAATATTCATATTCGGCCGAATATTCGGCTAAATCACCAAACATTCGTTAAAGTGCTACTCAAGGTGTCCACTTTACTTTACTATTGAAAGTATATTTTATTTATGAGTTAAATCTACCTGTATAGCATTATGTTTTTTAGGCACTGTAGATTTATTTTCAATTATAGCAAATATAACGCTTGATAAAATGTTTAAAATTCAAAAAAAGAAACATTACATTACATTAGTACATTTCAGTTTACTTTGGTCATCAGTCTCTCTATAAGTCTAAATAGTAGTCGTAGTAGTAGTAGTCTCCTGCCACTCATTATTATCATATAATTATCAATTTTCTCTAAGAATGACTTAGTTAGATAGGTAGAACATAGGTAGAACACAATGAAATAGTTTTTTCTAACAAAAAATATATAAAAACAAGCATGTACAGGCTATTTGCACAGTACTAGATGATGCAATAACATGTCAGGTGTGGCAGGGGAGCAAGGGGCAGGGTCCGACGCTAATCCTGCGCTCTTTGTGGTAACAAGTTTTGACATAAATTGGTTAGGTACTGAGATAATCTCTGCCGAATAATGTTTGGCCGATTATTCGGCCCATCTCTAGTCACAAGTGAAACACATCGAAGCATAAATTGCGCTATCAGTTCCGAATCAAAAACAATATATATAGAATAGCTCTGAACTATTAAATGGAGTGTTGACCGCTCTGCTGCACGATTTAAATGATTATTTTAGCTTTAGTTGACAGGCAATGATGCTATTGATTACCATCTAGCTGCTTTTTATGCCGGAAATCTTTATTTTTCGAGATATCGATAGTTAAAGTTTTGAGGTTATATCGAGTTGGCTAGACATCCGGTATTTCATTTTGATAATGTTTTTAGTCTAGGAGGCTTGTTAGGGTTAATCTTAAACCTATTACACTGTTTTTAGATGTCGGAAATGCATTTTGAATTAATTACGATAAAAACAAATTTCACCAAAAATAGTGTAAAAGTCAATTTGTTCTCATATTATGAAGTAGATTTCCGATACTTGATTTTTTAATTATGTTTTCAATTTAGGAGAATTGTCAGGGTTAAGCTCGAACCATTTACACTGTTTTTGGATTTCGGAAATGCCTTTTGAATTAATTACTTACGATAAAAATAAATTTCACTTTAAATTACATATAACGAAACGCAAATATGTGTTAGTTTTTTAACACAGATACACTCATAAAAAGTTAATCACTCGGACCCAGACAATCCATTTGTTGTGGTGGAGATGGGACTCATATACAACAAATTGAGTTGCAGTGGAGAGCAGTCAAGAGATTTATCCGAAAACAAAATTATAACAATTCACATTACATTATTTCATTTACCACTCTAGTAGCAGAGTTAAGAGCAACTAGACTTTGTAGATAAAATAGGTCGAATCGGTTCTAAAACCGAATTAGCACACCCCGACTCCACGTAGTCTTGTCTGCCCTACCCCTAGAGTGTTTTTGTAAAGCCGTAGGCATGGAGGGAGAGCAGCCCCTGCCCGCTGTAGGAAAGCGCAGGCACCTAAGCGAGCCATAGCGGCTGAGGCTGGTTGCCGAAGGCGACCAACAAGCCGAAGCTGCGGAGGCGAGCATGGGTGCCTGTGATTTGCTACGCAAGGGCAAAGGGGCTGCACTTCCTGCAGTGCCGAAGCCATTGCAGAAGTAACTGTGTCAATATTCCTGTATAAAAAATGAGGTTATGATTTTAAAAAAAAAGGGGGTTTCCGGCACTTCCCCCTTTCAGGGCGAGGTTTCTACCCCAGCCCCCCCACTCGGTGACCATATAATCATGCGGCAGATTACTAAAAAAATTCATAAAAAATTGGGGGGGTACCGGCACTTAATTCTTTTAGGGGGAGGTTCCTACCCCTCCCCCCATCTATTACCTTGACCGCTCCCCAGGCAGAACACCTTGCCCAGCGGGAGATCCCCCTTTTCCTTTCACTGCCAAATAAGCAAACTTGCTTACAGCAAGTTATAATACTTTTAATAGTAACTATCATCATTTGTAAAGAAGAGTATTAGTTAAAGACAATAGAGTACCTCATCAAATATATCTGAATGGTAGTTGCAGCGCTTATAGCCTCTCACAATTGTCACCGGTGGTTCCTCTTCTTTATTTTTATCGTAAACCCTCATTAGGATGTATTTAAAAATACCCGAATTATCAATGTCAACTTTTGGTATGGTGTCCAACATCACAGGAGTTGAAGGCATATTCCTCAGGTTTCTAATTGACTTATTAACTGCTAACAATATAAAACGAAGTAAAGGCATTAAGCAGGTAAGTTCTAGGTTAGCTGGTTAATAGCAAAAATATCTTATTAGCATACATGAAGGAATAATACCCAAAGACGTCTTTAAATCGAGTAACAACCCGTAGCTGCTCCTGAACTTCAAGCAAAGCATAAGTCCATCCAACTGTTTGGTGGAATCAACACACTGCAGCTGCACACATTAAAACACGTCAGGGGTATGTTCCGAAATACAATACAAAGGTACTCTGTGGAAATACAACGCACCAACGCAGTGTACTGTCCAATGCAAATGACGTAGACGTATCATTTGACACTTTATTGTACTAGCGTGCCGCCGCCATATTGTGTCGGATATCCGGTCATAATAAAACAATTTTTAATTGTGTGTTTGCCGAATGAAGCATGCCAGAATTTGTTTCTATTTATTCAAATAGAAAAAATTATAGAATAATTGATGGTATATCCATTAGGGGGATATAATGATTTTTGGAGCACAAAATGACAAAATAATCGCCAACACTTTTCCAAATGGCGTAAAAATATGACGTCATTTACTGTCCAATGTTTTGGAACGAATCACCAGTATAGCGTCGATTCATGACGTCATTTGCATTGGACAGTACACTGCGTTGTATTTCGGAACATACCCCAGGTAATGTCATATATACACAGTACCAATCTATGGGTAATGTCCTAACAAAAAAAAATGGTACGTATAGAATGACATTGCAAGAATTGAATCTGACATTCCGCGCCTTTCTTTAGCCTTCTTCACCCCCGCAAAACTCCAAGCGTGCCATTTTGTGATGTCAATGTCAGTGTCACTCACCTGTCATTAGAGATGAATAGTACTAAATAGGTAAATTTCGTACTAGGTGCACCTAGTCCAATTCCGTATATATATACCAATCCAATCCAATCCGTATAAATACTCGATCCAAATACCTGGTCCACCTAGTCCATAAAGTATCAAGTACGCACAAACTTTAGTATTGTTGGATATTTGGAATAGGATGAACTTTAGTTTCAAGTATGCTTTACGTGCGTACTACTGAAACGTGTGCACTGTGCAATTATGAATTGTAATCTTCCCTTCATACTTTACACAGGCTTAGGACAGTCAACGTACTCACAGAATACCAGCGTGAAATAGTAGCTTAATGCTGCTGTATTTCGTATGGTGAGTGTAGAGAACCGGAGACCCTTTTTACTGGAAACGAGGCATTCCATCTCAGTCCTCACGGGTGACAACGCATCTGCATTTTGATTTTTAATGGAGGATAGATGTAGATGTCTATGGGCCGCAGCAACTACTTACCATCAGGTGGACTGTGTGCTCGTTTATCACCCTATTCTATAAAAAAAAAAATACTACATTTGTAGATTGTTGGCGTTTTTAAAAGATTTTAATTCATTTTTATTTCAATGTAATCAGATTTTGCTTTTTTTTGTTTTGTGTTTTTTATTTTTTTTTTTAATCACTTAATCTACAGTTATGGTTACACGTAATTTTGCTATAAGAAGCTTTTACTTTTCAAAACTCAACAGTTTCTGCTTAAAAAGTATGCGAAGACAAGGCATAATTTTTATATGCATGATGAAGAATTGGCCATCAAGGGGAAGACCGGACGTCGCTAAAAATCGCAAATAAAAGTGATAGGGAAAGACCGGACAGACGAAAACATTTAAAAATTACCTTGTTTTATAAAATACTGCGCAGCACACGCCCTACTTTTTTGGAGCGACTGGCTGAAACTTGGGGTCGGGGCAGAATAAAATGGAGTCTTATACCATATTGCTAGCTTTCAAAAATATAGCACAATTCACCGGAAATTTGAATTTCACGGTCTTACCCCATCACCGATCTTACCCCAATGCACTATAATATCAGATTTACATTTATCAGAATTTTTTTTATATATGTATGAAGCTATAGTGCTCGCACCCGGTTGTACTAATCGCACCAAGTTAGTGGACGGCCGTTGTTCACCTCCAGGTTGTTGAACTATTCCAGCAGATTGGTCTGATATTGGTGGTTGCTGGTTAGTCTGGGATGTTATCACTGGAGCTGGAACGTCGTTTCTTCTAACTAAACTTACGAATGGATGTTTACGTTTAATGTGTTTTGTAAGGTTTGATACAGAACTTTTAAAACTCAGTTGTATTTTACAAATATTACACTCGGCCATTTGTTGCCCTTTGTCCGTAAAATGATCCCAAGCCACACTATTTACTCTAGGAGCCATTTTTTAAACAATAAACGCGTGAGTGTTTCTAGTTAGTTTTTGAATAAACACTTTAATCTATCACGTACAAAACCAATACATAAAATAATCAAAATATGTCTCCTTTGTAGACACCCCTGATAATTATTTTTTAAATGTTATTTATAACAAGTATACAACCACAATTCTAATAAAATATTATAATTATTCTCGTTACTAAATTACGAGGATTGAGATTATACGAGATATAAATTAAGATAATTTACTTCAAAAGCTCCCTTCCGCCATTAACCTACTATCTTTACTCGATATGTAGTACTACAAAGTACGTCTAGATGGATGGTGCGGTTACGGAATAATTTAATATTTTCTAAAATTTGTTTTAAATTATTTTTATCTTAAAGTTGTCAATTTATTTGAAAAAGTCTAGAATGTGAACATTCACCTATTGATTTTGTATCTCTCTATTGATTTTAAGCTGCTATGTTTTTTTTAGTATTGCTATAATTCTATAATAGGTTGATGCAGTATAAAGTAGCTCATAATGACAGAAGGGAGAATTTGAAGTTGATTATTTTCATATATTATTTCTCATATAATCTTAATAGTAACGAGACTAATTATAATATTTTTTTAGAATATTTTATGGAATATATTTGTATAATTCTTATAAATAAACATTAAAAAAGAATAGTTCTGAAAAACAAAAAATAAAAAGTTGGTGAAGTTTACTTCATAAGAACGATTATAAAATATATAGACTAGTAAATGTGAGTAAATGAACGCATTTTTATATTACTGAAAGCAAGCATGATACATTTACTTATATTAATTATATAATTTATATTCATCAAAATATATTACATAGTTATGGAAACGCAAATTGTTTACGTAACGTAGTCATGGAAACATGAATACAGTGTCCACCGAGATCACATTCGCATGGGTCCATACCGTACTATAAACAGACACTCATCTGCCTTGTACTCTTGTATAGATCGTCTAAGCTGAAATGATGCGCCCCACTATCGCATTAACGCACACAAGCAAATTTAAAATATGGACGCAATACATATACAAATGCCATTGTAATTGATCATTCGGTTGTCGGTGAGACTCAAGCGTAGGAGCACGCGTCGTTCATTTGTAAAAGTACCGTCAGCATGTCGACCAAAAAACATTTACGGAGTCAAGTAAGTAAAATAATACGTTATTGCTTAAAATCTTATTTAATCATACATCGTTTTTATGGTGGTTTACATGCATACATTTTACAGGCAAAAGAAATTACTGCGAAAGTGTACCGCAGAATGAAATATGAAGCGGAAAATGGAGTGGAAAAACTATCTGACGCTAGATGGCGAACTGCTCAAGCCGTTGGTGTTAGTGAATCTACGATTACACGAATTTTGAAAGAAGAGAAGAAAGCTAGTACATCAAATGATACGTCACAAAAAATTTTTAGATCGCCCTCAAAACCAAAAAAGGAAGCGTACCAAGTCTAACCTGGATGATTTTGATATGGGTATACTTCGCAGAACGATAGCGACATTTCATACAGAATTTAATGAATTACCAACGTTAAGAAAGCTGAAACAAGTATAGAAAGAATTGGTTTTAACGGTTGTATAGAAACTCTGCGTATCATTTTGAAGGAATCGGGCTACGAGTGGTCCAAAATGGATGACAACCGTAAAGCTTTAGTAGAAAAGCATGATATCCAAATGTTACGCTTTCAATATTTGAGGCAATTAAAAAAATATCGTGACGAGGGCCGCTATATCGTATACACAGATGAAAGTTATGTTCATACAACACATCTGCAAAACATGTGCTGGAAACCAGTCAAAGGAGTATCAGCAGTGCAAAAAAAGTTGTCGAAAGGTACTCGGGTCATAATTGTTCACGCTGGTAGATGTGAAGGATTTGTTCCAAATGCTAGTTTGGTGTATAAAGCAAACTACACAAGTGGAGATTATCACGACAACATGAATCTGGATAATTATAAGAAATGGCTCACCACACAATTACTGCCCAATCTCCCGGTAAAGGCTGTCATCGTTGTGGATAACGCTTCTTACCACAATGCTTTATTAGAAAAAGCTACCAACTCCAACTCAAATAAGCAAGTCATGCAAAACTGTACGATCTTATTTTAAAAAATAAGGACAGATTCAAGAGGTTCGTTATTGACGAACTGATTCAATCAAAAGGGTTTGAAATTCTACGACTACCACCTTATCACCCGGAACTAAATCTAATAAAAATGTTTCACAAAATTTTACATCCATTATGTCACTTATAAATGAACGACTCGAAATGATTGATAGTACTATGTGGGCAAATGCATGTCGGCATGTTGAAGACACAGAAAAACAGTATTTGCAATATTTTGACATGGACTTTGAATTTATTATTTCTGTTAATGACTCTGATTCAGATGAAAGTGAATCTATGGAGATGAGTGAATAGTGATACTTTACATAATTTACATGCATATTATTATAGTAATTATACTAATTTGTAAAATAAATATTTCGAAAGAATATCAATCTGGTTTAATTAATCTACATAATTACAAAATAAAAACAATATATTTTGAACCATTAATTAACAAATAGAAGAAATACCATCATAATTAAATAATTTAACTTCAATTTCTTTGTAGACCGTATTTGATAAGAAGCTGATTTTCTTGGATTTTTTGTCCAACTTGTCATAATTGCCTGAAGGTGGCAGAGAGCGGACGTTTTGTTTCATACAATGCCCCAACGCTGCTCCCTAAGGAGAGCGTTGTCGGATTTATCACGCGACTAGTCGACCGTCACGTAGGCATACAGATCATAGTTCGCGGAGCAGTCGACGCTCAAACACAGATGAAGCGTCGTTATTAATATTTACACTCACACATCGAAATCAACTAATTAAGTAGTGGGGCGCGTCATTTCAGTTTAGACAAGCTCTACTAAGTATTTGGTTGAAGTCCCGAGTCCCGACTAGTCTCGAGTCTTGAGTATTGATAGACGAAGATAGAAAGACTGCGGAATAATGTAGTTAAACAAGGACAAAATATATTCTTACACAACACGAGTGCGCGTCACGTTACTTTTATGAGCATTGAAATATGGTTCAAATTCAAATGACTGACAAACTAATGATTTAGGCAAACACGACCGTAAGCGCCTAGTAAATATGGCAAAAAATACGAGTACGACGTGTAGGCACAGTGAGACTAGATGGATCGAATATTTTAAAAGTTGGAATAGGTGCAACCTAGTCTCGTTAAATACTTTCATCTCTACCTGTCATTGCTTGTTTCGTGTTGATAAAAGTGCTTGCTTCGATCGTCTCATAGATTACTGGATCATCTTTAAATCCACAAATAAAGCAATATCAGGGTGAAATTTCGGAAAATGTTTCGAAGGTGTTGTGTTTCAGAGTGCAATAGTTTACGACAGGACGTTTGATTGCATCAGTTACCGGCTAATAAAGACATTAGAAACAGGTGGTTACAGTGCATAGGTTATTTATTTATTTATTTAATCGGAAATCCCTCGGTTAACAAAAAACAGAGTAGGTAGAAAACAATTAAGCAATAGGAAACCATTTATGGGTTTTCGCAAATAGTGGCACTATATAAATAATTGCATGCGATGAGTTACCGACAGCTAATAGGACACTGTTGCACCAACCGTAAGCTTAGCTAAGGAACGTCGTGCTATAAATAACTAAACATTACAGATTAACAAAAGCAAAAAATATAAAAAATAAAATGAAATAAAAAGAAATGAAAAATATCATCAGCTGGAATCGAAAAAAGGCTTACTCAGAACTCGTCTCGCAGAAATGATACTTGTGTTTCATTTTTATTTCATTTATTTATTTTTATTTTCACATACAGAAGTATAACAATTAGAAGTATAACAATTAATAAGGTGTAAACATAAACTCTTTTGAGTTTTACCGTACACCCTAAGCCGTCGTTATACAAGATTAAGACTATAACATATTTGCTACAAACTTCATACATCCATACTTAAATAACAATCACAAGACAGCTACACATTTTGTAAACACGATGAGGGTATATCACAAGACAAGGTTATGTAAAAACCTTTTGTGGACGTTCCTATGCAGCACTATCTTCATTTTATGCTACTTTTATTCTACAGGATGTTTTTTTAGCAAAACGTTTATAACAGGTATGGTATAAAGTGTAGTTTGTGATTATTATTATATAGTGTTGTTAGTTTATATTTATTATGTATATGTATTTTATGTATTTGTTTTGTATGTGGATAAATTTGTTATCATATTATCTATATTAATATTTAGTGTTTATATTATGTATATGCTTACTTGAATTTATTAATTGCTATTATGTAGATATATATAATTATTCTAATGTATAAGTTAATGTATATTAATGCGTAAGTAATGTTTAACAATTATAATGTATGTTATGTGTATTTTTTGTTTATTATTTGTAGAAAATATTGTTTCAAGATGTTTTTTATATTTTTAGATGTTATTTTTTCATTAATAGCATTAGGTATATGGTTAATTAGGTAAGGTATTGTTACGAGCTTGAGGTTCGTGACAATAAAAATTGCCGATAAAATTACCTAAATTAACACTTTAATTTACTTTACACAAATTAAAGTTAAAAACACTAATAATTAAACACACTATTTCACTTTATTCCGCTCCGAAGCTTCGCTTGTTTCGCCAAATCAACACTACCACGATCGCATCTTGCAGCACCTATTTATTTAAATTAGCAAAGAAATATCCAGAATGTTCGAGTAAACACGCGCAAGGTACCGAGCGTTCGAGTTTCGACTAGGCGCTGTCGGTTGAAAGATTTGTGATGTCATTTTCTCAATGCTCCCCTCGCTCTCGTTCCTGACACTAGATGGCGCTAGTTGACTTATTCACGCAACACTGCCCCCTCCTAAGACATGCTCGTCCCGAGCATTATCGGTCCCATAATAACGCGCCAAGCGATCCACATGGACGATCTTAGGAGTCCCTCTTGCGCCTTTCTGTATCCGGTAGGTCACATCGTTGATCCTGGTTACAATCCGGTACGGGCCGTCCCATTTAGCTTGAAGCTTAGAAGATTTCCCTTTGCTGCGGACTGGATTGTGCAACCACACTAATGAACCTTCGTTGAACCCTTTATTGTTCATTTTGCGGTCGTACCGGGTTTTCATTTTCTCAGACATTTGCTGGCCCGATTGTCTGACGTGCTCATAAATGTCGTTCATTTTGTTCCGCAAGTCATTTGCATAATCGGTTATACTGCGTGGGGCATCAGGTGGTATCCCGGTGATCAGGTCTGCAGGCAGCCGTAATTCTCTTCCAAAGTTTGCGAAAGCTGGTGTCACTGCTGTACTTTCGTGAACAGAACTTCGATATGACAACAAAAACGGTTGTATGTGCTTGTCCCAATCTCGTTGCCGATTGTCTACAACTTTTGCTAGGTACCTCTCCAATGTCTGATTAAATCGTTCTACCATTCCATCAGATTGCGGGTGATAAGAAGTCGTTCGTGTTTTATGAGTACCCATAACTCGGCAAGTTTCCTGGAATATTTGAGACTCGAAATTCCTTCCTTGATCGCTGTGAATCTCTAAAGGTACACCAAAACGACAGAAGACTTCATGAACTAGCTTATCAGCAACTGTTAAAGCTTCTTGATTTGGAATGGCGAAGACTTCTGGCCACTTAGTGAAGTAATCCATCACAACCATGAAATACTTGTTACCGCTTTCACTCTCCGGAAACGGTCCCGCCACGTCAATGGCTATTCTCTCCCATGGTGCACCAACATTGTACAACTTCAATGCACCTCTACTACGAGTCTGAGGTCCCTTTACAGCCGCACAACTTGTACATTTGCGACACCAGTCCTCGACATCGTTTCGACAGTGGACCCAGTAAAACCGTTCTCGGATCTTCAGTAGAGTTCGTTTAACTCCCAGATGGCCTCCTGAACAATCATTATGGTACAGCTGTAGAACATCCGGTACTTTAGCTTTAGGGACAACCATTTGCAAATGACAGCTGTCTCCCCGAACGTTTTCCCATTTACGACACAGAACTCCATCCTGAAGCAGCAAGCTGTCCCACTGGGCCCAATAGCTTTTAGTGGTCGAACTCATCGCTGAGACGTCACTCCACTTGGGCTTGGGAGCACTGGCCTTTATCCATTCCAGAATCGGCTTGATGTCCGGATCTTCCTGCTGTGCATGTAGTAAGCTGTCCTTCCACTCGTTGCTGAGGTGGTCTGCCCTGAGCATCCTCACGGATACCACTTCCTTACTCTCTTGCCTAGTACAATGCTTGCAATCTTTAGGACAAGGTCTTCTTGACAATGCATCTGCGTTGCCATGAGATTTCCCGCTGCGATGTTCGATCTCAAAGTCGTATTCCTGCAGTAGTTCAATCCACCTCGCAACTTGTCCTTCTGGGTTTTTAAACTGCAACAGCCATTTTAGTG